TGACGGTGGCTCCGCTGGGGGGAAGGACTACGGCCAGAAGACATGCTTCGTGAAGTCTCTGGAGTTCGATCCAACTCCAACGCCACTCGAGAGATCCGCTCCACCAAATGCTCCAACGACCACCTGCCTGCCTCCATGTCACATGTGTCAGCTTTCACTGAGCCACTGCAACTTCGATTGTCCAACGAGTGCCCAGCATCAATTTCCACCAGTTGCACCTTGTCAGCGGTTTCCATAGGTAGACCCTGATTATTGTTTGGATCTCGCTGGCTGAAGTCTTTGACCTGGAACATGGTCAGGGGTGGTGCCACGAACTCCTTCTCATCTGGAAATGCAGAGAACATCGATATGTCCTTGAAGTTGGAGTCTTCCTCTTTCACTATGATTTCAAAGATGGTTCGGGGACCCTCCAGCCCGCAAAAATCAGTCATCACCTTGATATCTGTGGATGCCGATTTGAGCGTGTACCAAGGGAACACCGTTCCACGCTCGAAGTGATTGCTGAAGTCCAGGAACACATGCCGAATACCTCGGTAAAGAGCGCCCTGCCCTTCGGGTAGCCTGGAAGATGGAAGTTTGTCCCAAGCCTGAATGATGAACTTGGTGAATCTCAAGGCTGCGATGACTTTGGGAGATTCTGTGTTGTTCCTCTGTTCCGTGCTGAGGATGACGTTCACCTCATTGTAGATGGACGGTTTCTCGAGTGTGTAGGCATGAATTCCCAAGGCAAATTCCATAAAGTCCTCTCCATGGGTTCAGATGGTTCAGGTGTGCTTCATGCCTCCACAAGACGCATACTATGAGCGCACACATGTATATATGTAAACATGTGTAAACCATTGTGAGCTCTAGGATGTTCGATGCTTCAAAAGGGCTTTTTCCCCGATCCATTGGCCTATCCAACTTTAAGCACGGCAAACAGCAACCACCACAACATACTACAAAAACAAGTACAACAACAAAGGCAAACACAAAAACACACCTTGCCTCTCCCAGGCCCAATTCTGCCAGCTTCTCTTTGAACTCCTTGCTGTTCGTCCACTCCTCCCTCTTGCGCTTCAACTTCTCAAGAGCCTCCTGGACATCGATGCCGAGCACCTCCAAGCCTTCCAAAGCTTCTTGGACCGTCCTCGGGCACTTCATCTCAGAGAGGATTTCCTTCAATTTGCCTTGCCATTCCGTGTCGGTCCGGTCAACCATCTTGTCCGTCGAAGGAGCTAGCGCAGGGGATGTGCGCAGCTCGGTTGAGATTTGTCGTGAGGTGCTTACTCACATCATTTTGTTGTGCTTTCTTTGAGCGTTGTTTCTGCCATGCGGCTAAATGACTTTGGACTTGGCAATTGCAAGCTCCAGTAGGAATAATTACGATATTTTGTTGCCATTCAGTGTTCTCTCTTCCACTGACATCGGTCACCGGCTTGAGACATTTCGAGAGCACGCATCATTCAAAAAATATTCAGAAGCTTCCAACATACTGCAACGAGCTCTGCGCAAGAAGCGTTTAACCAAATGTTCTCAATACATCAAAACGCTTTGTTCAGCCTCTGAGCGCATGTTTGGTGGCAACTCCTCAGCCAGCAGGTTGGCCGAGATCTGCTTCGGGTAGCAAAGTTGAAAACAACTTTGGCCTCTGCAACACTTTCAAGAAGGTATTGGGCCGGGTAAGCCAGTCAGCTCCTCCAACACATCGTTCAACTTCGGCCACTGGAGTGCCATTCTTGAACAAGAAATCTTGATCTAAAATGCATGCAACGTTTTTATGGAATCACTTTTTGGATCTTTTGGGCGTTTGGCCTCATGTCGGGAAACCCTCTAAGTGGTCGCAACGTTTGAACTTCAACAGAAAACATGAGGCCCACCAAACCTCCTAGATCCTGACCTGTGTACCTATGACCTATGAGCCCTTTCTTGAACCAACCTCCATGGCCATGTAGCATAAAGTATCGTCATAAGATCATCAGCCTCTTCAGTAATTAATCATCACTAGTTTATCAGTTTTGTAGGACACGGCCATCCAGGAAATTCATCCAAACAACCCTTCCACCGAGCAGCTGAGCTCCCGATGTTCAAGGTTTATGAGTGCGACCATGATGGACTCCTTATGAGTGCTTCGAACTCCTTCCGTTGTTTTTCGGGTGCACAACGTTTTGGACGGTCAAATCATTCGGCCCCGGGCCACATCTGGCGTCTGTCTGGGTGTCCCACTCCCAAGCCACCGGACACAAGAACTCTGCGGATCCTGTGGGATGAAGCGTGAGGAGGAACGACGAACAAAAGCGAAGCGAACAAAACGCTTGGGACTAGGGCTTTTGGGGGGGTCCTGGTTGGTCCCATCAGTGACTCACAAGCGACCTAGCACACAAACATGTCAGAACCCATCGGAAACTTCACCTTACTCCAACTCCTCAGTCTCCAAGATCGACCAAAACTTCAAACAAACTACAGTACTAGTCTATGATGTCTATGCCCACACTTCAGTTGCCCAGTGAAACATTCAGCAACTTCAGCCATCTGCAACTTGGCAAAACTTCCACCTTTACTACTCCCATGCACCCACGTGGGACAGCTGCGCAGGGCGTGCGTCCTGGTAGGTCTCAGCCGCACCCGGAGCCTGGCGAGGCGGTGCGTAGTCCGTGGAGGCCGCTCAGGTGGCCAAGGCTTGGTGCTACACTGGTGACACTGCAAAAACCATGAGCATGCATGAGATTACAACATGATGATCAGAATCATATTGAATTACTGTATTTATTTTGGTCGGCTTTTCTTTCTTTGTGCCCTTTCTTCATTGGAATCTTTGGAACTCGAAGTCACAGAAGTGCTTAAATGGCTTAGAGCTTAGAGGAAAGGCATCGGACCAACTGGAAACCTGTGGCTACCATCCCTCCAAGCTCTAGAACTCTCAGACTGCGCAACGACTCCAACCCTGGCCGCCGAAGCTGCACAGCTAAGAGCCCACGTCATCCTGTCGAAAGGTTGGCTCTAGCTTCCTCAATAAGGTTACTACCGACGCCATAAACGTCCTTCACCAGGAGAATTGCACCAGAAACATTCGAGATGTCTGCCTCCATGTCTTGGGATCGTGGTCCAGTCCACCACCCAAAGCCAGCCTCTCAGTCTGCTCGAATGGTATCGATCAACAACAACGGTGGGTAGGTAGTGTGGGACGTGATAAGTGGTATAGTCAATGCTATGGGACCGTTGGAAAACGAACAAAGACCAAATGGGAATCAATCGTTTCCGGCTGCCGAATGCAATGTGATAGAGGTCTAGCAGCTAGCACAGTTCAGAATGCTGAGAACCCACACACTTTGGCTCAAAGAACCCCCAAGGAAGACCAATCCATCGAAGAGAAGCACACCTCACAGAAAATGATTTGGACATATTTGGATGACTGTCGGGCCTCAAGCAACCCAAGTTCTCCAGTTAACATCTTCCCTCTTTCGCCTCGTTTCCTTTTATGACAGCACACCAACAACAAACATCAACCAACTATACGAACTATATAACCTCCCCGGAGCTGGCAGTTGTGAAAAGCATACAACCAATCCAAAGCTTGAACATACACCATCATACATTTGTGAGGGGAACATGACATGAAAAACACACATGAAAAAACAAGTTGGATGTTGGATTGGAAGAACGCCAGCCCCACCAGCTCATTGCAAGGATTTCCCTGCCGTTTTGGTTTCTTCGGTCGGGCGTGCGAGGTTTCGTTCAGTGACCACCCCGTTGAGGGAGATGGGGCGTGCGCCGCGCGTGCGACCCGCGGAAGACGCAAGGGGCCTTTGGAACGGTAAAACGATGCGAGGCTTCTTGCCACACAAAATGAACACCAACAAAACATAGCAAAACTGCAACAAAGAAAACCATAAATCATGGGCTAAATGTTGCTGGATGGGAATGGGTGCGTCATGATGCTGTATGATGCTGTCAGCATCTGTTAGCTGGAAGAAGTGCTCAAGGCGAACCAAAAGCGAACAACATCTCTCGTCTGTAGCCTGCGAGCCAGTCCCATGTCCATAATTCTTATCTCTACCAGCACTTATATACTCTTAGTCTCTCAGTGCTGGTCAGCGCTGTTGAAGGTCAGTCACCAGTGCGCATCCATCCATTGGACTTCCCCAAGATTTGCAGGAGCAAGAGCTCCGGCGTATCAAGGTCTATAGATGAAGCACCTTATCTGCCAACATCTTCCAACGCATCTTCCGCCGAATTCCTCGTGGTCCGCCCAGGTCGCCTCAGGAGACTTGAACCGAACTCCTTCGAACTCGAGATCAGCAGCATTGACGACCTGCACGGACAGGATGCGACACAGCGCAAGTTCTTTGGAGGAAGGTCCACACGCTAAACTCCCCTTGATTGGACAATCGCACGGCTGCCTACCTTCAAACCTTCTACCAACTCTTCCAAACAAATCTATATAGCAACTAACAGTAAAATCTTCACTGCTAAAGCCACAGGGAACCACAGGCGATTCTTTTTCAGACTCGGCCCATGCGAAAGTAAAATGTGTTTGTGGAGAAGTCGAAGTGGTCCTTGCACAAACACTTGTCTCAAAGCTGAAGGCAAGACAGCTAGAGCCCATCTTGTGAGTGGTTAGACTTCTCAGCAACTCCATCCGATTCCATCGGCACGGCCGTCCAATCAGAGTTGCCTCACACCCACAATCGTCCATCGCCCTTCATCCACGCTCCGGGACTCTTCAAACCCTACAAAAAGACCTACAAGGACCTGACAACCGCTACAAGGACCGCTACAACCGCACCCCTTGTAGCGGTCAAGGACCGAGACCTTCTCTAAGTTTCTGGCCTCCATGCCGTGGGAGGAGACTCCTCCATGCTGGCCTCTCAGTCCTGCAGCGATCGAAGGGCAAAGACGGCGTACGAACGTAGGATACGAACGATGGCAGTGCAAAGCTAGGTCGGATGAGGTGGTTCTCCCCTGGTGGAACTGCAAACAACAGAAGTCTGATAATATTAACGAGGTATCTGAAGACTTTTCTTGGCATTCCATCCCTCCAAACCCATGGAACTTTCAAACCCCACAGGGAGCAGGTCCACCGTGGCGAAAGGAACGGCCAAGCTACTCCAAAGATCACACATGCTCTGTTCAAATCACATGGTTCATCCAACATGACCTTGAAGACCTCAACGACCTCAACCCTAGGCCCTAGGTGTTGAAGCTGCACACAACTTGCACATCCACCTGCCATCCGGATATTAATGGATTGTCTGAATATTAAATTATATCACCTGAATGAACCTATGAGTACTACGGATGACTCTTTGGACTTTGTAAGCATCGAGCACCTTTGCCACGATTCCCACCTCCATATCTCAGCCGCCCAGTGATCGAAGAGTCTCGATCATCGAAGTGACATCTATAGTGATATCTAGTTGTTAAATGTCTCGAGGGTATGCGATCCAATGAGAATAAGTGTTTCAAAATAACTCACAGTGAACATTAACATATCTAGTGATCATGGGGAAAACAAAGAGAACCACCAAGACCAAGGACATCAATCTCATGCTTGGCGCCAACAGCGAGTCAAACAAGACTCTCTGCTGGCCAATTCAATGCGACAGCGGTCTATCTAGAACGAGTTGAAGCACAGTCAGTTGGGGATGTTGATGAACAACACACTTTTGGCTGGAAGGAAACTCAAGAGAAAGCCAATCCATCCTAAAGAAGCCCGTTTCCTTGCACCAAAGCATGGCAGAACGCACATGCAAACATCAACCTCTCCGGAGCTGATTGCACAGGCACCACAAGACAAGAAGGAACTCAAATTGAATGGATGAATGGATCATTGCAAAAAACGACTCCAGGAGTTCTGTATAGCTACTGTGGGGAATGCAAACGCAGAACATGAAAGGAACAATTCGACTGGAAGAACACTAAGCTCCAAAAGGCTCATGTCATAGCTCCTCACAAGAAAGAATTCGCAGCTGTTTGGTTTCCGTTTTCCTGCCAGTCGCCTCAAGAAAGGTTCCTAGAGCTCAGCATTGGGGCGTTGAGGACGAAATCGGATGTGACCTGCAAAAGAGGCGTGTCAAGAAGGTACTTAAAAAAATAGAAAAACTGAGGGGGGGTTGTTGAAGTGGCACACTGACTAATGACAGGAGCCTTCAGAGCACACATGCGAAGGCAAAAACACCATAAGCACATGGGCTCAAGTTGCTGGATGTGAATGGGTGCGACATGATACATCCATTCAGAATGAAGTCGAGCTACAACTCTCTAACAGCGCTGTTCGGTCAGCAGTTCAGGACAACAACGGTGTCCCATGTCCATTGTATACCTAAATCATCCTTGATGTCTGCCACCAGCCACTCTTTGATGCTGTCCCCAGCTGTTGAAGGTAAGTGAGCAGCCCCGAACAGGAGCGCCCATCCACCATGGGACTTCTCCCAAACATAAATCAAGAGCTCCTGCACAACTCCCTGCGGCATCCTCCAACACATCACAACTGAATTCCTAATATTTTGCCCAGGGCGCCTCGGGAGACTTGAACCGAACTCCATCGAGCTCGAAATCATCTGAGTGACGATGACCTGCAAGACACTGGATAGGACACTGCGCAGTTCTTTGGAGGAAGGTCCACACGTGAAACTTCCCTTGATTGGACGGTCATCATGACAAAATTCTAAACAATATTCAACATAAAAAAGAATTGATAGAACAAGAACCTCAAACTTTCTACCAAACTCTTCCATCAATATTCCACACAGCATCACAAACGCCCCCCTTTTCGGACTCGATGCATGCAACACTGAAAGTGTTTGTTCGAGAAGTTGGAAGTGGTCCTTGCACATTTCAATAAATGGTTCATACTGAAGGCAACACCCTGAGTGACATCCGACAGCAAGAGCCCAAAATTGGTACTAGTGATCGATATCGTGATTGGTTAGAGTTCTCAGCAGTTTTCTCGGCACAGCCGTCCACTGAGAGTTGCCTCACACTCACTCTTCATCCTTCATCCTGCAACATCCTACACGCGTGGACCTTGGCCGTGCTAGCGGCTCCATGCCATCCGCGCCAGGTTGGAGGTCAAACTTGGACCAACAACTGCCATCCCAGTGATGCCACCGGCCATGCCACCTGCGGGAGATCTGAGCAAAGGCATTGCAGGTGGCAGCCGAGCTCCTGGCAGGACATCACCACCTGTGCTGCTGCGCTTCGCTGCTGAAGACGTGGTGAGCTGCGTGAGCTTCCAAGAAGCCCAGGCGAAGCCCACGAAGGGCACCATGCTTCGTCTCACTCTGCGGGGTGGTTTCGAGGCCAAGCACTGCCTGGCAGTGACAGGTGTACGAATCTTCTGCATTTCGTTCGACTTCTCGAAGAATCTCAGGTCTTTGGCTATCTTCCGGCAATCCTCCTCAGAGTACTGCCGGCCTCCCACCACAGCACCACCCGCAGAAGCCAAGTCGTCCCAGTGAGATGCCTTCGTTGGATCCTCCTCCACGAGGGCCACACGGCGTTCGCGCCTTTCTCTCGCCTCACGGAGCTCCGTGGCCTTCGCACGGCACTCCTCCTCTGTGTAGTGCTGGCCGTTGACACCCAGAAAACAAAAATGATATCCGGCGTCTTGCCAAGCTGCTTCGAAGGTGGGATCCAGCTCGAGGCACTTCTGGTAGCATTCCAACCAGCCAAAAAACTCGCCATTCACTCTGCCACCGCGCAATGAAGCAAGAGCGTACCAGGCCTTGGCATTTCCGTCCCACAGCTCCAAAGACTTCACCACGCATTCCTCTGCAGTGTAGGACTCACCTCCTATGGTCCCCCCACCTAGTTCGCCCAAGAAGTGCCATGCTCTTGCATTCTCACCATTCAACTCCAAGCACTTGCGATAGCAATCCTCTCGGCTGTAGCTTTCTTTTCCCACCTGGCCACCGCCCATAGTGCCCAAATTGAGCCAAGCATCTGCATTCTTTGGGTTCAAACACAAGGTCAAAACCAAAGTCATCCTGGTCGCAACGCACAGGTCTGCTGTGTGGGGCGTGCCTTCGCCCCAAACTTCAGCAGCAGTGAGGCCCCCCAGCTTCGCAGCATATTCATAGCATTCTTGCTGGCTGCAGTCTTTGTCATTTACCCGACCACCACCTAAGTTGCCCAAATCGTACCAGGCCTCCGCAAACTTCTCATCTTCCTCAAGGCATCTTTGATAGCATTCTCGCTTGCTGTAGTCCTTGAAAGCACCCAAGTCATCATCAAAGTGATATCCCACCCTGCCTCCCCCCAGGTCGCCCAACATCTTCCAAGCCAGTGCATGATTAGGATCGAGCGACAAGGACTTCTCGAAGCATTCCTTTGCTGAGCAGCCTTCTTCTCCCACCTTGCCACCACCCAACTGGCCCAGCTTGCACCAGGCATCTGCAACCTTTGGATTTCGCCTCAAGCACTCACAGTAGCACTCTGCCTTGGAGTACCTGTAAACTTCACCGACTTCGCCGCCGCCCAAGTCACCAAACTCCTTCCAAACCTCTGGATTTTCAGGATCCAGTGCCAAGGACTTGCCGTAGCATTCAATCTTCTTGTCCTGCTCGTTCCTTTTTCCTTCATCTAGGGTTTTGCCCAGTAAGTGCCATGCCTTTGCATGTTTGTCATTCAGCGCTAAGCACTTTCTATAGCAGTCCTCCACACTTTTGACCTCGTCTCCGACTTGGCCACCGCCCTGCGTGCCCAAACCTAACCAAGCATCTGAATGCTCTGGATTCAACTCCAACACCTTCAGAAAGCAATCCTTTGCTGTGTGGGGCTTGCCTCCCTCTGAGCCACCAGCACAGCCTAGTAACTGCCAAGCTTCAGCATTGCCTCGATCCAGCTCCACAAAGTACTCGAAGCACTCTCTTTGGGTGCAGTCTTTGCCGCAAACCCTGCCACCACCCAACTTGCCCAATTCTTTCCAGGCCTCGGCATACCTTTCATCTTCCTCTAAGCATCTCTGGTAGCATTCCTGCTTCTTGTATTCCATGCGTTCACCGCAGCGCCCCACGATACCTCCGCCTAAGTCGCCCAAACCTTGCCAGGCTGCTGCAGCATTTGCATTCTTTGGGTCCAGCGACAAGGACTTGATGAAACATTCCTCCGCTGAAAATTCTTCGTCCCCCACTTTGCCGCCAGCCAACTCACCAAGCAAGCACCAAGCCTCTGCATTCGTTGGATCTCGTTTCAAGCACTCACGGTAGCATTGTGCTGGGGAGTAGGCCAAAACACCAACACGGCCACCTCCCAAATCACCCAAGTCTTTCCAAGTCTTCGCATCTTCTCGATTCAGCTTCAGCGACTTCAAGCACTCCTCCTTGTCCCGCGTCTGATCTCCGACCATGCCACTGCTCCTCCTTTTCTCCGATGAGTGCTCAGTCTTTGCATCCGTGATGCATTTCGGCCTTGCAGCCTCATCGATTTCAACTAACTGCACCAAGTCAGCAGTCTCCAAGGGTGGCCCCTCGTGGTTCTCTGCATCTTGCTGCATCGAGGCAGTGACTTGGAACATGGTCAAGGGCGGTGCCAGTAATTCCTTCTCTTCAGGAAATGCTGAGAACGTGGATATGTCCTTCAAACTCGATCCGCCTGACTTGACGGTGATTTTGAACAGCGTTCTGCCGCCCTTCGATCCGCAAAACTTGTTCATGACCTTGGGATCTGTGGATGCCGATTTGAGGGTGTACCATGGGAAAACGGATCCCACAGCATAGCGCGTTGTGAAGTCCTGAAAGGTAAGCCGGATGCCGCGGTAGACATAGGGCTGGCCCTCTTGTGGCTCGTAAGAGGGAAGTTGTTTCAAAGCCTCCTCGATGAACTTGGTGAATCTGAGGGCTGCATTCACTTCCTCAGATTCCGTGTCGATCCTCTCTTCCGAGTTGAGGATGCGGTTCACCGCAGCATAGATGGATGGTTCTCTGAGCGTGTAGGCATGAATTCCCAAGGCAAATTCCATGAAGTCCTCTCAATCAGGGATGGCTTGATTTTCTTTCTTTTGGTGCGCATAAGCATGGGTTGGCAAACACAAACACAATCAGGCCGTCTTTCACATGCTACACATTCGCAAAATTTTGCACACTAGATTTGGCATGGCTTAGCCTATCTTAGACTCTTAGACTTTATATATTGACTCTGCTTCCGACAATGTCCCCATATGTCCCCTTCCCAGCAAAACAACCAAGAAAACAACCTGCCTCTCCAAGCTCCATTTCTGCCAGCTTCTCATTCTGCGTCCACTCCTCTCTCTTGCGCTCCAACTTCTCAAGGGCTGCCTTCACATCGATGCCAAGCACCTCCAAGCCTTCCAAAGCTTCTTGGACCGCCGTTGGGCACTTCATCTCAGAGGAGGATTTCCTTCAATTTGCCCTGCCATTCCGTGTCGGTCCGGTCAACCATCTTGTCGGGCTGCTAGCAGCTAGCACAAGGAGTGTGCCGCTGGGTTTGAACTGATTGTATAAGTGACTGTTCATATGAGTGTGTTCACATGCCTTTCTGGAAGTGTTCGGATCAATCGCAGCTTTCTACACATGTTCCTCCGCGGCAACTGAAAGCTATTTCTGTTGGTGCACCTGTATTCTGCATTACGGTTCATCACATTCTGTTGCATTGACTCGGTCACCGGCTTTGAGACATATCAAGAACGCACACACAGCATTGCAAGTCATCCAAATACTGAAACGGTTGCCGCAAAACAAATCTAGGCAGCAAGCAAGCCCTTGTCTCGTGATCTTTGAGGGATTTTGCAGCCATGGGTTGCGCGCCGACCCCTTGGCCCCCAACAAGCTGCTGACGGTGGCGGGATCCATCGGCTTCGACCTCGGGCGAACGTGTCCTTTTTGTTTGGTTGCGGAAGGAGATGGGACCTCCTTGTGGTAGGTCAAGCCGCTGAACTGCATCAAGGGCAAGTGCATGTTTGTGACATTTAAGATACAGTATTTCACACGTGTTGTTTCGATTTTTACAGCGGCACATCCGCTCCAAATTCCACCCTCCTGCCGTTTCCAACAACTTTGACTATAGTGACTTGCCTGCCATGCAAAACAGCCTGCTCTTACAGCATCCCAGTTGCATCCGGTCACCCCTCCCTGGCAAAGGCCAAATCTGGTTTGCATGTTGTAGACCCTTGTGGCCCTTGTGAAGGGTGCAAATTGTGATGTCTCAACATGTTTCAAGGCATCGACTGAAGGAGAGTTGGAAGACCCATACCTCCTATGTACAAGGTATAGCACTGAAGTAGTTAACATTCCCTGGTGCCATACCACTCAGGGGCCCACCGATATTCGTGCCATAAATAATGTGCCATCATATGATATTCCACTGTTGCCATACCCAGCTGATGCCAAACCACCGCGTAACGGCCCACCGAGGTCGGTCGTTGAGTCGTGTGGCGAAATCGCCCCCGCGATGCCGGGAGCTCCCACGGGCTCGCGGCTCGTGGCGGTGACCTCCAGCGAGGGCGGGCTCTCTATAGGGGATAGAAAGGAACCGGAGCATGCTATATACTTATTACATAAAATAGCTTGGGTCTATCATGGTCTATCCATGTCTATCCTATTGCCAGTAACCGTGGATGATAATGGTTCAGTTGCAGGCCGATAGTGATGTTCTTGTTTACCGCCTGTTACAGTGTAATAGGACAGATCCAACATATAATAGCCCATCCGGCCCATCCTGCGTGAGTTAGATTCCCATTTGAAGAGTCGGCGAAGAATGTGGAGCTGACTCAAACGATTGCGGGCTTCCTCCTGTTTCTATACGGGTTGCAGAGTATAGTATGTAATATGTCACAAGGTTCCAGCATGCTTGCAAAGCCCAATTACATGGATTGCTGTTGTCAAATGGTCGATTTGGCAAAGCCTCACCCCAAAAGTGGCTTCCAAATCTAAGGGGCAAGTAGATATGGCGGTCTTTCCGAAGCCGTGGCAAAACCATTAGGGCTACTAGCAAGCCACAGCGACTGCTGTATGATCAGTGGAAACGATGATGATTGTCATGCATGTGCATACTATCATGCACGTGCATACCTTTGCAATCCTTTACACAATCCTCAGAAATGAGAACTGTAGTATGGCCAAATGAGATTCATTCCTCAGAGGCTCCCGACGCCCGAACAGCTTGAGTCACCGACTGGCGACTCGAAAGGCCCTGGAGGTGACGGGACATGGTCATGTGTGAGCTATTAAGGAAGAACGTTTCAACATGAATCATGGCACATGTCCGACACACGTTGTCCAGATGAGACCACAAGAAAGCGCCACATCATAACACATCCGTTTATACAGGTGGTGTTCAGTGGTGCCCACACCAAACACCGGTCTGGGAATGCATAGTTGGCCACACGGCTGTAAATATGTATATTATGTCTCGAATCGGGGTGTGATCGCAGGTCTCCACCCACTGCGGTCTTATGACTCCATCCAACTGAAGATTTAGGTGAACATGAACACCCTGGCACCGCAAGCATCCTAAAAACCACCTCAAAACTTGGATATATAATTAGATATAATTATATAGACAGAAATCACCGGAATTGCCTTTCCCTGCTCGCTCCATGGTTCCAATCTTGCACTCATATGGTTCAGACTGTTTTGGTGCCCGTTGCCAGGAAGAACAAGTGTTGGAAATGCTCAGTACCTGCTCAAGGTGAAGGAAGCGCATGGATACGTGCCCACCCTTTGCCTTAGGAGCTTTCTGCTACCTTGCGTGCTATCAAACTCACTCAGTAAGCATTAAGCATCTCCAAAGTAGCACAACAAGAGTCAGTGTCAAACACCCAAGGAATAGCAAACTGATTTGATTATGCAACTATGACTGCAACTATGCAACCTCATTGATTAAGGAAACACGTGACTTTTCGATGCTGTTTTGAATCTTTGCTGGGCATACATCACAAATCTATCACTCCCAGCGGGAGTTATATAACACTTTGATCAACCCGGCGGCGCTTGCAATCAAAAGGCTTCTTGGCTTCAAACTCCAGTTTAACAGCTCTCCGGAAGTGACGCTTCTGGCCTTTCTTGTCGTATCTGTCTCCGACGTTGTAGGGATTTAGCTTCAGGAAGATCTCACGATTGGACAAGTGCGGCGTCTCTTGAAAATCCTCAAGCACTTCCGAGACATTCTGAAGGACTTTAAACTGCGACTGCACACCGCCAATTCCAAGCTTAAATACCTCCTCAATCTCCAGGAGGGATCTATCAGCACCTTGGTGCTTTGGGTTCCACATAAATGTCAGAACCTGCTGCAAAACTGTCTGAGTGCTTAAGGCCTTAAAGGTGATCAAATCTGGGATCCGCCCCGCCTGAAATGTTCGGGTCATCTGTTTATTGACACTAATACAACAAGAACATCCACAGTGCCTCAAGATGCCTCAAGTGCATCCAAGCCACTATAAACGATACACGATTGACCTGATTTGTTTTCCCAAATGCCCAATGGTGGCTCATCACAGCTCGTTTCAAAACTCTCGAAGATATCGTCATCGGCTGCACCCTCCCATTTCAGTCTCCAATGACCCGGAAGGCTCGGAAAGAATGGAAAGCTCTGCTCCCGATGGAAGTAGATCTCCGCTCCCTTCTCATTGGAGAATGTCACAGGCTCGTTCACTGCTGCACTCCATTGGAATTTGCCGTTCCACTTGGCAGCACGGTTTTGCAAATGCCGTAAGAAGTTGAAGTTCTTCCTCATCGGCCCGGGGCAAACATACACCGGATCGTCAGGTGCTCTGGTCTTGAGCTTCACATGTGCGGTGGCACACGGGTGCTTGAAACATGGCCAGGGCTCTTTCTTGGCATAGGGTAACTCATCCAGGTCGTGCATAGCCTCCAATTCACCATCCGACCATGCATCCAAATGAGCAATGCCGCCATCTCCACAATTGCACGCCTCCTCTGAGCATCCGAATGGCTCTGAGAACATTCTCCTTGTGCATGTACACACGTGCCAAAATGGCAGGCGAAATCAGCTTGCAGCACACTACCCTGAACAACTTAATCACCCCTACAAAATAGCTCCGCTTTCTCAAACTTCAAACGCTTGCGTGCCAAGAGTTCAGAAGTAAGAAGTGGGCAGCCGGTACTGGCTGTGGGGAGTTCCGCGACAAGATGCTCATTTGAAACCTCTTTTTTTTGGTGCCTGATGTAGGACACTTCCCGACCTTACTTCTTAGGGATTTAAAGGCTTTGTGGTCGAAAACCCTCCCATTCTAAGACACGCTCACCTTTGTTCCAAAAATGCGAGTATGGCTCACTGATTTACATTTGAGACCTGGTCTTCACAAACCATCTGGCACACACCAGAACACACTCATATACTATTGATGAGCTCAGCTTCACTTCCAAACACACATCGTAAAGTTCCGCAGCAATTCGCTCTGCTAGCTGCGGCAAAAGGAAGAACTTCGCTTCCCTCTCCAAACGCCTCTTCAAGGCAAGCGAAGAATGATAAATAAACTGACGACAGCTTCAGGATGGGTCGAGGCACAAGTTTACAGCTTGGACAGTTGATAGAAAAACCATCGCCACAAAAACAACTGACAACTCAGAAGCTCTATGGCTGGTAAAGGGCCCCCCCCTCCCCTCAAACAAACAGGAGACGCTCTATAATAAACTATCACCAAAAAATATCTGGATTCCTGTGAGAATTCCTGTGAGAAAGCTGTCAGTTTTGAAGAAACCTAGAGAAAACTATATCAGCTAATGAATCATAATCATTGGCCTCAGGAGCTAAGGAAAGGAAGATTACATGAGCAATTTTTTCCAGTGGATTTTTTTTTCATAATTGAGAACCCCAAAACAAATCTATTATTGAGGATCAGGTGCCTTCCTGGTCTACTACCTTGAAAATTTATTTAGGAGCAATGTTTTATAAAGGGTTTAATGCGATTCATCCCCTTTTCGCTTTCGAGAGGGAGACACAAAGGCCAGCAAGAGCGCCAAGACTGAGCAGCATGCGTTGTGTTCCTCTAGAACGATGCGATGAGCCTTCCCAGCCTGCGAGCCCATATGCACTGTGCTCGAGGGACTGCTGGCGAGTTGTTCAAAATTGCAACTTTGGAAGTGCGCCGGGCAAAAGATAGCTGTTTGCGACCCCGCAGGAAAGGCGATGCGATATTCATGCATGCCCTGCAATCCAGTGGCTGTGGGCGTGACGTCCACAACTAGGCCAAACTTTCGCACCGTGGGGCTGCTCCACAGTTCTTGTCTTGTGGTGGCCTCATCGACAAAGGTGAGCTGCGGAAGAAAGAGGGCTAGAATGACAAAGACTTCTCGAAACGGGATCGGCGCCAGTAGGTCGCGAGCCATTTCCGTCAGC